AGCTCGAACAAGCCGTCGACTCGCCGTCAGTCGTCAGATTCTCCGGCTGCCGAAGATGGATTGCTTGACCTCCTACTTTTTTCCCGCCACCTTAGCCTTCTCTAAGTCCTCCGTTTCAGCTTCTAAGCTGCCATTTTTCGCCGTCGCTCGTGGAGCCTTGCCGGTGTTTGGTGTTCTCAGAGCCTCTCGTACCGCCGATGCGCCGCTGTCCGTCGACGATTCGCCGGAAAACCGCTCTGATAAGGAGGTTAAACTTTGGGGCGGTCGTTTCGAGGAGAGCGTCACCGATGCGGTTGAGCGATTTACCGAATCGATCTCCTACGATAAGCAGCTTTACAAGCACGATATTAGAGGGAGTCGAGCTCATGCTTCAATGCTAGCTAATCAGGTTCTTTTGATTCCTCTATTTCTTTGACTAAATACAATCGCATTTGTTAAATATCATTGCATTTCGTTCATCAATCACTAAATGCTTCAATGCTAGAAATGAATTCGTTTCGCCATTGTGAGGGGATTTTATCTTTTAGTTTCTTTCCTGAGAAGTGTAATTGAGCGTATACATCGATTTAAGATTGCGGATAACATTTAAACTGCTTAGCATAATCGTAGTTTACCAGTTGGTTGAATTTGTTCATGAATATTTTCCTTTTTGTGTCTTTAAAGATTGGAAACTTGTTACTTTAGGGATTGATAAGTGTTGCTGAAAGGGACAGTATCATTGAAGGTTTGGATGAAATTGAGAGGCGAATTGAAAGTGGTGATTTTGTTTGGAGAACAGATAGGGAGGATGTTCATATGAACATTGAGGCTGCCTTGATTGATATGATTGGTGAACCTGCGAAGAAGCTCCATACTGCTCGAAGCCGCAACGATCAAGTTCTAACTGATTTTCGATTGTGGTGCCGGGATGCAATTGATGCTATATTAGATGCTATTAGGTACCTTCAAGTTTCCATGGTAACTCTGGCATTGAAGAACGAGGGATTAATCGTTCCGGGCTATACTCATTTACAAAGAGCGCAACCGGTTCTACTTCAGCATCTTCTCTTAGCCTTTGTTGAGCAGGTAAGCTTCTTCTGGTACAGTTCCTCTGCCTTCCTTTACCGCAGCCTAAGAGCTTGTTTACAACTAATCAGTATAAGCAGTAGACAACATGTACATGCATGAATATTTTTCATTCCTTGCAATGGATGCTAGCATAGCACTATGCTGCTACTTGATGGGATTATGTAACTGTCCAAGCCCGCCGTTGGCCGATATTGTCCTCTTTGGGCTTTCCCTCAAGGTTTCTAGAACGTGTCTGCTAGGAAGATGTTTCCATACCCTTATAAGAAATGCTTCATTCTCCTCTCCATCCGATGTGAGATTTCACAATCCACCACCATTGGGGGTCCAGTGTCTTCGCTGACTCACCTCCCGGTGTTTGGCTTTGATACCATTTGTAATAGTTTAGCCCACCGCTAGCAGATATTGTCCTTTTTGGGCTTTCTCTTATGGGCTTCCTCTCAAGGTTTTTAAGACGTGTATGCTAGGAAGAGGTTTTCACACCCTTATGAGGAATGCTTCGTTCCTCTCTCCAACCGATGTGGGATCTCACAATCAACCCCCTTTAGGGGCCCAACGTCCTCGCTGACACATCTCCCAATGTCTGGCTTTGATACCATTTGTAATAACTCAAGCCCACCGCTAGCAAATATTGTCCTCTTTGGCTTTCCCTTATTTGTACCTTCATTTTTTTAGTCAGAAACAAACATTTTTGTTAAATAAAATAACTATAGCTTATATAATATTCACACATAGTTATTGTCATTCTATATATCATTTTTTAGAAAGCCATGGGAGCTTGTGCAACCTCAAGTGTACATTGAAAACATTAGGATTTATATGTTGATCCTTTGCTATTGGACAAATCAATGGTGGTTATCTGATCCCACTTTGATTGATTTTTTCCTTTTCTAATGATCAGTTTACAAATGAATCAATAATTTATCGTTAAATTTGCACTACAATCCACCTTGATCATGGTTTCCTAAATAAAATGAGGTTATAAGCAGTTTATTACTTCTGTCTCTCAACTTAAAATTTCTAGAGGTCTTGATTGTTGTAAAATAATTGTTTTATAGCTTGAAAGAGATGCTGGTCGTTTGTCGGATTGCAGAGTTAGGCTAAATCTTTGCCCGCTAGGTGCATGTGCGCTGGCTGGCACTGGCCTTCCTATTGATCGTTTTATGACTGCTGAGGCTCTAGGGTTCACCGCTCCCTTGAGAAATAGGTATTAAGCTTCACTAAAAAGATCATCTTCTTACATGTGTGAGTGTGTGTGGTAGTTTATATCAGCGTGCCATATATATATTTTTTTTAATTTTCGCGCTCTTCTTAAGAGTTGCTCTCAGTTTATTGGGAAGCTGACCCCAAATTTACGATCGTTGGCGTGAATGTATGTATGCATGCATATACTCTTTTGTCTCGTTCACTGTAATAAATAATTTAAGCCATAAAACTCTGTTGGAATGCCTACCGCTAGCAGATATTGTCATCTCCTTAGTATATGTGTTTTAAAGCCGTGAGGCTGACGGCGATATGTAAAGGGCCGAAGCGGACAATATCTACTAGAGGTGTGCTTGGACCTTTACAAATGGTATCAGAGCCAGACACCGGGCGGTGTGTCAGCGAGGACGCTGGGCCCCCAAAGGGGTGGATTATGAGATCCCACGTTAATTAGAGAGGGGAACGAAGCATTCCTTATAAGGGTGTGGAGACCTCTCCCTAGCAGACATGTTTTAGAACCTTGAGGGGAAGCGCAAAGAGGACAATATCTATTAGCGGTGGGCTTGGGCTGTTATAGAAGAGGGAAATGAAGCATTTCTTATAAGGGTGTGGAAACCTCTCCCTAACAGACACGTTTTAAAACCTTGAGGGGAAGCCCAAAAAAGACGATATTTGCTAGCGGTGGGCTTGGGCTGTTATAGAAGGAACCAACTTCTATGTTAGGAGGCCAATGAAATTTAGTTGATTCTGCTTCCACTGTCTATAAGGAGTTTAAATTACTCTTCTTTTCGTATCTAGTTGTATCATATCAGTTGTGATTGTTCTTTATCTTTACAGTATCGATGCAGTTTCAGATCGAGATTTTGCCCTGGAATTTCTTTCTGCCAATGCCATCACCGCCATCCATCTATCAAGGCTAGGAGAAGAATGGGTGTTGTGGGCTTCCGAAGAGTTCGGATTCGTAACACCCAATGATTCTGTTTCAACTGGAAGTAGCATAATGCCTCAGAAGAAAAATCCCGATCCGATGGAACTTGTTCGTGGGAAGTCGGCTAGAGTCATCGGAGACTTGGTCACCACTCTCACTTTATGCAAAGGTCTGCCTCTGGCCTACAATCGTGATTTGCAGGTAAATCTTCACACATTTTGTTTTGACCATTTGCAGGTAAAGGGTTGACACTTCCAAGGTGAATGCTGTTGAGCCTTACACGACAGGAGTGTGTTTTTGTTGTTTAGGCACTTTTAGTTCCCTGGTGAATGCTTCATTTTTCTGTATGCCATTTTCTTAGTCATAAAAAACGTTTCGAAATTGAACAGGAAGACAAGGAACCTGTATTCGACAGCGTAAAAACAATATTGGGGATGCTCGAAGTGTCAGCTGAGTTTGCTCAGAATATTTCGTTCAATCGGGAGAGAATCGAAAAGGCTTTACCTGCTGGTTATCTCGACGCCACAACACTGGCCGATTACCTCGTAAAGAAGGTAACTAGTTCCTATTGGTTTTCCTCAAAACGTAGTTCTTGCAATAACTATATCGAAAGCAGTATCGAGTCGTCTGTTATTGTACTGAGTAGCATATTTATATTAGCCAAACGACATTTCAATACTTCTAAGGTCATCAAGGCCTCCATTGTTGAATGCTTTATTGTGTAGAATCGAATCCGATACATTCAACGACATTTCAATCCGACTATCAGTCCCCTTAATGATGCTTCTATTTGTCTCTCTCTTTTGAAGGGAATACCTTTCAGAACAGGCCATGATATAGTTGGAAAGTCTGTTGCCTTGTGTGTCACAAAAAGTTGCTGCCTCCAGGACTTGAGTCTGGATGAGCTAAGAAGCATAAGTCCAGTATTTGAAGAGGACGTTTACGAGTTTCTCGGGGCCGAGAACGCGATTAATAAATTTTGTTCGTACGGTTCTACAGGAGCTGCCTGTGTTGCTACTCAAATCAAATACTGGGTTAATAAACTCCAAATCAATCTGTAGATCTGGTTTGCAAGCCATCTGGAAATGGCTGTTTTCAAGTCCAAGATCCTGCAGTGCAACCATTCTGGGGCCACAGGTACGAGTTCTAGGCAGAGTATGATGGATAACTGTGGGTTGAAATTAGGATATATTAAGGTATTTTATATGAATGTTTATTGTCGAATTTTGTATCTCTTAACTAATCGTTGATGGTTGGATTATTCTCTAAACGTTACATAAACTTTAGTTATGGCCTTCATCCCTCAAAGTTGTTAGAACGTGTATGTTAGAGAAAGGTTTCTACATCATTATAAGGAATGTTTCGGTCTCCTCTCCAACCGATGTGGGATCCCACAATCCACCCTCCTTGGTGGCCTACGTCCTCGTGTGACTGTTCAAACACACCGCTGACAAATATTGTATGCTTTAGTCCGATACGTATCATTGTTAGCTTTGCTGTTTTAAAATATGTCTACGAATGAGAGGTTTCCACATTTGTTAAGGAATGCGATGTATTTTTTGAAAAAGTTTGGGTATTAAAATGTATATTTTGAAAGTTGAGGAGCTAAAAAAGCAAATGAAGAAATAAAAATTAACTAGTTAGGTCATGAAATTCATGCCTAAGAACGTGCTAGTTAGGGCAAAAGAGTCTTTTCAGTGGTTCCACTTGACGATAGTTTTCCAATTTGCGAAAGAACGTGCTAGTTTTCCAAATTGCGAAAGAACGTGCTAGTTTTCCAAATTGCGAAAGAACATGCTAGTTTTCCAATCGGAAGCACGCTTATCGTATTTGATTTTTGTTTTTTTTCGGTTCCCTAACAGACCCGCCAATTTCGGGAAGAATCGGAGGAAAATTTGATGGAAAATTCCAACAAGGTTGAAGCAGAACGCTTGCTTGGAATCGCTGAGAAACTCTTGCACAACCGTGATTTCACAGGCTCCAAAGATTTCGCCATCTTAGCTCAAGAAACAGAGCCTCTTTTGGATGGCTCCGATCAGATCTTAGCGGTTGCGGATGTGTTATTGGCGTCGGAGAAGCGAATCAACAACCACAATGATTGGTATTCGATTCTTCAGGTTCAACGGCAATCTGATGATTCGGATCTCATCAAGAGGCAGTATCGGAGACTCGCGTTACTTCTACATCCCGACAAGAACAAATTTCCTTACGCTGATCAAGCTTTCAAGCTGGTTGCAGATTCGTGGGCTGTATTGTCCGACCACTCGAAGAAATCACTCTATGATAATGAGCTCAGTCTCTCTGCTAAGATCGATTTGTCCCAGCAGAACAAATTTCCGGTGCGCCGAAGCCAACGATCCAGTTGGAAGAAAGAGCACGAGTTTGAGAGTAACGATGGCGCCAAGGCCGATCAATCTCCAAATCAGCGGGTGAAATTATCGAGTTTCTGGACCGCTTGCCCTTACTGTTACGTGTTATTGGAGTATCCTAGGGTTTATGAGGGTTGCTGTTTGCGGTGTCAGAATTGCAAGAGGGCATTTCAGGCGGTGTTGCTTCCGTCTCTTCCGCCGCTCGTTCAGGGCCAGGAAGCCTACTATTGCTGCTGGGGTTTCTTTCCGATGGGGTTTGCCGCTCAAATTCCCGAGAAAGGTGGGAAGGGCGGCGAAACAGCGGCACCGGCGACAGCGTTCCCCAATTGGATGCCCCCAATATTCTCTAACAAGCTGCAAGAAACTAGTGGGAATGGAAAAACTGCGGCGGCGGAGGAGACGGTGACAGGTAGTGAAAGAGCGGCGGTGGTTGCTAGGACTCCGATTGTGAGTGACACTGGCACAGGGAAGAAGAGGGGCAGGGGAAACCGCCGATTGCAGCCTAAGTTATTGTAAATTTTTTCGAGAATTATGATAATATTTATGGAGCCGATTGGAAATGCCTGAATCTCTCGTTGTTGTAGTCTTTATATTGAGCGGTTATATTCAGACGAGTTAGAACAAAGACGGCGGAAGCTGGGGAAACCTGAGGTAACATTTGGTGCAATGTTGAGCTTACTGTTTTCTTTGTTGATTTTAGGCTTCAGATGTAGAAACTAGATGGGTAGTTCCTGATTTTCCTCTGCATGTTCATATGTAATGCGTAACTTTATTCAAATCACCAATGATAATTTGGAGGTCTTTATCCAACCCCATTTGAGGCTGCACTGCCAACCACTTTTTGCAGGTGGCTATGAACACATCACATTTCACGCTTATCATCTCATGAACTAAATTATGGATTCGAAATGGGAGTTGCCCATTTCACCGTTAATAGTTCTGTAAGTGGCTAGGTTCCTTTAATCCTGGTTTCTTCTTGAACTAAGCACCAACTATTTAACCATTTCACAGTTAATAGTTCGGGGCCCGAGGGGGGTGAATTGTGAGATTTCATGTTGGTTGGGGAGGGGAACAAAGCGTTCTTTATAAGGGCGTGTAAACCTCTCATTAACAGATGCTTTTTAATAACCTTGAGGGGAAGCCCAGAAGGGAAAATCCAAAGAGGACAATATCTGCTAGCGGTGAGCTTGGGCTATTACAAATGGTATCAGAGCCAGACACTAACCGGTGTGTCAGCGAGGACGTTGGGCCCCGAAGGGGGTGGATTGTGAGATCCCACATCGGTTGGGGAGGAGAACGAAATATTCTTTATAAGGGTGTGAAAACCTCTCCTTAGCAGACGCGTTTTAAAAACTTTGAGAGGAAGCCCGAAAGGAAAAACCCCAAGAGAACAATTTCTGCTAGCGGTGGACTTGGCTTGAATTGCAGATTAATTTGCACAAAAAGGTGGACTTTCAGCAAATTGTTGTTGTGAAAAGTCAGTTATTAATCAATTTGTTTGTTTCTTGATCTTGTTCACTTAGCTGCTTAAGCGTTGCTCTTCTTCTATCCGTCGTCAGCATCGACCTAGTACAATTGGCTATGGCGAAGTTCTTCCCTTCAATCAATGCTGGATTTCTGTTCGACTTCAGTTGGTAAGCAGATCAAAACTACACGTCTTATGTAATGTATCTATCAGCTTTATGACTTATAAATTAATGTGTCGAGACTGAATCTCAACCTGACTTGCTACTGATGGTTTTCATAGTTATTGGACCTATCTATGCTTTTTTTTTTTTGCAATCTGGTTATGGGCCATAGTTGCTTTTGGTTATACCCTCTGCCCCTTTAACAATCTCTTATTCAAGTGGGGTGGGGATGCGGATCTGGAAAAATAAAATTTCCCTTACTACTTTGAAGTATATATTCCCTTCATCAGTATACAGTAGATAAATTATTCTATTCTGTGAGATCTTCACTCTGTTTATAGCTGTAGGAAAGTTTGTAATGCCGTAACACTTATAATTTCTCGAGGAACGACCTTATTTGAACAGGATCTGTACTATAAGTTGTACATCTGTCTCGAGTTTTAAAACTAGGAATTTCTCATGAAACATATAAAATGGTTCTTGCCGAGTGTCACAATTGGCGATACGATTGTGTCCTCGAGAAAGTCATTGAGGATGATGATTAGGTTAAGTGGGGGAGAGTGTCACAAATCAAGACGCTGTACGGTTGTCCCGCAGCAAGCCGGAATGCAGTAAATTCTGGCGTACTTGGTTGATTTCTGACTGATGGGTAGATTTTAACTCTGATGGATAACACTGTTGTGCTGGGTGTTCTATAAGATAGTGTAAAGTTTATAAGACATGTTTGACTCGGCATCGTGAATCCTCGTGATTTCGATATCGCCAAGAGCAGGGATGGAGAAAGTTAGAATGATATGCAACTTCCTTGTCGATCATAGATTTTTGTTTTGAGATCTTATCATCGAAAACTTAGCTTATTTTACTATCTGGACTCCTCTTGTATCTTCTTCTACTCCGCTCTATTATATCGCTATCCCGAACCCGATAAGAACAAACTCATTTCTGGCCAACTTGATTGATTTGTCTCTGATGGGTTGATTTCAACTGCAAGTTCTACAGTTGGATTCTTTGTTTGTATTTGGCAGATGATCAAGGGAAGGAAAATATGGCCTTTGCTTTTCTAGGTTGGTTTGCTTTCTCAACCCACTTTTGTTCAAAGAGATGTCCTTCTCTTGCCTCTCTTCTTAACCACTTGACAACTTGAAGGAGAAAAAAAAGAAACACTTGGATTCATACCATCCTATTTTGGCCCGTTGCTGTTTTCGGTATTGACGAACGGTTCATAGCTAACAAAATTCTACTCGACTCGACCTAACCAAAAACACAGATTACACGATCTCGAACTTTGATAACGATTCTTTTGGGGATCCCGGCGTTTTGGTTTCTTCAAGTTACATGAATTCAGACTTGAAGTTGCAAAATGCGTTGTTTCTATACAAAATTCTTGAGAAAAAAGTAGGCTCAGCCTGAAAGTGAAGTGGGGAAAGATAATGACTTTGGAAGCTAAGCTAAGCAATCATGTCATGTTATTTCAAATTCTTGTTGCCTTCCAAAATTTCAAATCTTACACTTTCATGATTATCATTCCACCCTTCCACATGGGTTTGGCAGTGGTCAAAATTGATGGGTGTGGGTCTCTCTTTTTCTTTCCTTTTTTTTTGTTTAACGCTCTTAAGTTCAAGCGGAAAATCCATGCGTGTGTATCGAGCGTGAATCGGGATAGATAAAGGGTAGAATTCTTGGATTTTGTGAAAAAAACTGTCAATATCTTACGTTTTCTTTCATAAATCATCAACTTTCATTCATCAGCATACTCGTTAAGATTTGCTCATAAACTATAGGTGCGAGGTGTTTGGAGGTGAATTAAAGAATTAAATGGCCTGAAAAGTTGGGTAAGATTTGGGGCGAGCGGTGGGCTACATTACATATACATATATATACATATATATACATATATGTATATTCATTTTTTTATGATGCCCTTTATATGTAAGGACAAACTCTAAGGGGAGCTTTCTTTCCCTTTTTCCTTTTTTCCCTTTATTCAATCCATTTGCATAAAGAGAGAGAAGAATCTCACGAATTCAATGAACTATATAAACCAGAGAAATTACCAATTACTATTTCCTTTGGGATATATGACCGAAAATTTAAAATATGAAAAATATTAAAAAACAAATTTGTTAAATTATAAATTTAATTACTAAATTTGTAAGCTGTTCTAGCTCAATTAGATTATATATATATATATATATTCTATTTTTTTATTTAATATATCTATAAACTTTAAAAATATATATATAAGTACGTCAAACCTATAAACAACAAAACCAAAAATTGAAAGTTTAATAATAAAACATTTAAAAATTAATCATTCAATCCAATAGAGAGAGAGAGAGAGAGAGAGAGAGAGATGGAAAAAGATGGCAGAAAGTAATAAATAAATTAAAGAACGGCATCAAAAGTTTATGGTCCCAAATGCATAGAGAGAGAGAGAGAGAGAGAAGTGGAGATGAAATCTTCCATTTATAGAAATAGTACTAAAGATGTCGTCTTCCTCATTACACATTTCTCTCTCTCTATTATTTCCTTTATTAAATATTTAATTCTAATTTTAAACCTTTCTTTTCTAATATTAATAACTATTTTTTTTTAATTATATTATATACTACCTTGCCTTTTTACTTTCTATTAAACCCTTCTAAAATTATAGAAATTAAAAATTAAATTTAAAATATATTAGGTTCTATGAGTTTGTAATAAAAAAATAAAATGCAAATATCTTAAATATTTTCTTTTATTTTTTATTTCCCGGAAGATTCTACATACCCTTTCTCTTTCCCATTATTATTATTATTATTATATTTATATTTATATATTTGTTATTTTAAAAAAATGAAAAAGAAAAGGAAAAAACATGCAGAGAATGCTTCTTTACGCAATCTAAATCGAGAGAGAGAGAGAGAGGAAGTCCGTCCTCCAACATGTTCCCAAAGCCCCACCACCAACCACCGTCCCAATCTCATCCTTTTCCACGCTCCTTCCCCGTCGCCGCAACTCCGCCACCGCGCGGTTCTCCCTCCACCGTCGATGAGGCTTCCGCGGCCGGCCCTTCGCCTCTCACTCACGCCATGTTCCCCAAAGAATCGGCATCCGCCGGCGACGGAGCTTCCATAGAAGTCGTCCGCCGCCCCAGAGGTCGTCCGCCAGGATCCAAGAACAAGCCGAAGCCGGCGGCCGTTGTCGTCGCCGGCCGCGACGCTGAGCCGGCGATGAGTCCTTATGTACTTGAAGTCCCCGGTGGTAGCGATATTGTCGAGGCTGTTGCCCGATATTGCCGCCGCCGAAACACAGGGCTGTGTGTTCTCAACGCTTACGGAACCATCGCTGACGTCACTCTCCGGCAGCCGCCTTCGTCTCCTGTGGCCACCGTCACTTTCCGTGGACGATTCGATATCCTTTCCGTCTGCGCTACTTTCGTTCCTCAAACGACGTCGTTTCCTATACCTAACGGATTCACCATCACGCTTGCGGGACCACAGGGCCAGATCTTCGGCGGCTTGGTCGCCGGATCTTTAATCAGCGCCGGAACCGTCTATGTAATCGCCGCCTCATTCAACAATCCGTCGTATCAGCGGCTGCCATCGGAGGACGAGGTCAAGAAATTAACCTTCAGCGACGTGGAAGAAGACCACTCTCCGATCTCCGGCAACAAAGATAGCGAAAGCACCGCCGCTACCGAAACCTGCGGTCTTCTCCCGATGTACAGCACTCACTCATCATCAGACGTAATATGGACGCCGGCCGCCAGACAACCGGGTCCGCCGCACCACCGCCAGTACTAATTACTTCGATTTCCGTTTTCAATTCGTTTACCAAAATCAATTTGTGAAGTTTTCTTAGGTTTGAATTAGGGTTTCCTCTTTTGATTTTTGTTGCGTTAAATTTCTGAGTATTTAGGGTTTAGTCCTCGAAGATTATAGAAATTCCGAAAGCGACCCTCGAAAACCCTTTGAAATTTGAACCGCCTTGAGAATATGATCAACACAAAAATTTTCTTTTTATTCATCTTAATATTGCGTGTTGGAATTTAATTTCCCTTTCTGAAATTGGTTCATTCATCCATTATTTATTTATTAATCTTTACGAAGAAAAAGACATAGCTTTCGCTTTTGTTAGGTGAACACGATATTGTCTACTTTGAAGATAAGCTTTTGTGGCTTTACTTTGATATGATATTGTCTACTTTAAGGATAAGCTCTCGTGGCTTTACTTTGGTATGATATTGTCTACTTTGAGGATACTTTGGGCTTTCCAAAATAGTTCATACCAATCGAGGTAGTATTATTTGATTACAAACGGATGATCATTCCCTAAATTAGTGGAAGTGGTACTTTCATCATTTATCCAACGACCTAAATATCATCTCTCTTTCGTTTCACTTGTTTTTTCTATTTAAAAAATTGTTTATGGTTATTTAAATCACAATTTAATTCTCAAAACTAATGTAATTGATGTAAAAGCTTACTAAGATTAAAAAAAAAATGTTGTATCTCATTAAAAATATTGAAAAGAATTTATAGTTTAGTGCATTTTTTATATAATTATAAGGGTTTTTATAAGAATGTAAAATCTCTTATCAGTTGAAAAAGAGAACGAAGGAATATTTCTTATAAGAGTGAAAATTTCTCTTTAATAGACGCGTTTTAAACTGTGAAGTTAATGACGATACATTATGGGTTAAGACAGATAATATCTGTTAGTGAAGAGTTTGATCTGTTACAAATGGTATCAAAATCAGGCATGAGACGGTGTTAACGAGGACATTGAATAATCAAAATGAGTGGAGTGTAAGATCTCACGCATATTAGAGAGGAGAAAGAGAGTGCAGTTGGTAGAGATAACAAGGGCTAAAAAAGGAAATTTGAACCCTTTTTTGCTTTATCCTTTGGGTGAACTTAGTTGTTTCTTTTATTTATTTATTTATTTGATGGGGGAGTGTTTGGGAATGCATTAATTTGTGTGTCCGGAAAGGATCAGAATATGGAAGAGATAGGTGTAGGGTTGTGGGAGGCACACCCTAATAATAATCCAAACCTTATCTCTCTCTCTCTCTCTCTCTCTCTCTCTCTCCCTCTCTCCCTCTCTCTCCCATTACATTCCCATATTTACTTCTTTTTCTTCTTTTTTATCCTTAAAAAAAAAA